TTTTTACTTTAGCAAATTTGTCACTTTTCATGGTTATAATGGGAATTCAACAAAAGCAAAAAATTATACATTTAACAATTAATTGCATTTATTTTAATGTCCTAATTCACAACTTATTTTATACATATTCTCCAAATGCTGATCTGCTGTTCTCATACAGACTAATACTTTCAGGTGCGTGTGAAGTCACTCATGGTGGAGTTTAGGAAGGACTTAGCAAGTTCCTAAACGTAAGCCTTTCAAAGAATGTAAAAACTATCATTAAACTCCGGCTCTCTCCATTCACGTTGATCCGATCTGCTTTTTCACTCGCAGTGTTGATGGAAATGAAACACGGAGAATGCTTTAAAGTCTGCTTATCCTAAACCAAACCCGTTGGTTGCTGCTCTAGGTGAGCCCTGGCATTGTGCTCCAATGCTTTCTCCATCAGCAGCAGAAGAGAGATGGAGTGGTTAGCTTAGCGTGAGGAGGGCAAAGAAAAAGGGGAGGGTACAGGGTCAATTACCTGAACACAATTACCGCACCTAACAACCACCATCCATCACTGGCATCCTTCTTCGGAGCAGCCTCCCTCCCGTCCACACGTTTGAGCCAGCTTTCCCGCCAGATGGCCCGGACACTCTGTCATCCAGCGCGGGCCCCTCCTAACGTCAATTGAAAACCTGAGCCGCATTCTTAAACACCTTTTCACCCAATGTCCTTGCTTTGCTCTGGCCCGGCACAGATACAGTCTGCTGTGGTAAAAGGTAAGGTACCGTCACGCTGCCTGGGAATGGTGAAAAGGCCAGACCTGCCAGGAATAGAACTGAGTACATAGTAGTGAATCGGAGGCTTTAGAACAACTCCCTGCCGGCATATCCGTTTTGGAATTGAGCCAAGGTATATAGCGGCCACTCCGAGAGGACAGAGCTAATGCCTCACAATGATAAAATAAGCACTTGGAGATTGCACTTGGAGGCTTGCCCTGAAGAAGGCGAACTAAGGTTGGTATAGGTTTTTAAAACATTTTAGGCCTTCTCCATTACAAATTAAAACTATAAAAGTGCAGACCTTGGCCAAGAGGCACAGTCACATTCCTCCCAGCAGTTTTGCAAAATATAAAAGTAACTTTAATCCAAAAACGTCAGCTTTCTCTACAGAGCCCATGATCGAGGCCCAGTCAGCGCGAAGAGGTTCAAGTCCCTCCTGTTCAAAACAAAAAAGGGCCATATCCAGCTTCCTCCCTCCTCAACTCACCTTTTAAACAGCTGAGAGATCTGTTTAATGTATTTATTATTCTGCACATTTATTGTATTTATATTTTACAAGATAAGATAAGATATTGATCTCACAATGGAGAAATTTACAATATTATATATATTTATATCTTGTATTTCTGTGTTTTATGTACCCCACTGTAAAATATCACGTAACTGAAGCCGGAGCAAGAGGAATGTTTAGTAAATGTCATTGATGCAAAGATGTTGTGGTTCTACTCCCCACGGGCTCTGTTAGTGGCAAAGGAGATGGCTAAAGCAAGGCTAAAAGCTAAATGCCTCACTCACTCTGGCTCATTACATACGTCACGGTAAACTCAGATCCAATGGTTTCAATCTGCAAAAGGAGTTAACCCCTCCCACATGTTAACGGAGTCAATGGACCTTTATAAGATATGAAATGAGTACAATGGTAAGGTAAGACCAGGCTATAGTTACACTAAAGAGTTGGCTGATTTATGGTCTACTTATACTAGACCAACAAACTGAAAAAAGGCTTCTTTCAACTCTGGCTTTCCTTCACTCCAATCCACTGGCAGGTCTTTCTTTTCACAGCCAAGAAACCATTTTAAAGTTGTCTCTCTCCCTGATGCTTTTCCTCCGGGACCAGGATCAAGCTCTTGCCAAGCAACATGTCTCTGTCCGGCGTTTTCTCTCATGTCTTCTAGCTTTGTGCAGTGTCTGACAACCCGCACCTTTCCTCCTATTTTTACCTCGGTGTGCAGCCCCAGAGCCCAATTACCCGGCGAGAACAGAGAGATGGAATCACAAAACCTCGTCACACTCTGGCGTTCGGCACTTTCACAATATCCACCAAAGTATTTGTCTTGAAAAAGCTGCGGCCGCAAAATAACTGATCTGTTGTCACTTAATTTGATGGAAACCTGTGTGTGTGGAACATAGAGTATAGTTACAGTATAGTTTTGTATCTTTTAACATACACCGAAAGACAAAGACAATTAAAACCCAGCCTCCCACCCATCTCACTTACAAACTATCCTGTCTCATTTACTCATAACAAACTACATTTTCCGTACTGTCCCCCACCACTAAAAACATGTGCAACAGATCTGAATGTAATGAGTGAATGGATGGTGTTTGGTCGGAGGCTTTGATGGACCAGTGTGTTCGGGTCTCTCTTCTGTCATGGAGAGAATCGAACAATATCTGAACTCTGAACATGGTAAAGAGCTTTGGGTCTGTACTTTGGTCTGTAAAAATGTGCTATATAAATTAACATACTTACACAATAACAGATAGGGGTGTGTCGTCAATGGTTTTTAAGCTTAAATGTGAAGAATCTTTGTGCCACATCTCAGACCTTCTTTCTCATTTGATCACATTAGACTTATAAGAGGAAAAGTGCTTTAATTAACTGTAAGTCTTGAAATCCATGCAACCTCTAAACCAGACCTCATAAATGGTAAAAATGTTAATTTCTGTGTCAAAGAGCTGCAGCTTATGATGAAGTGAACTTAGAGAGGATTGAAAATACAGACCGATGTATAAATCTTATTCAGTTTTATATCAATCAATCAATTTATTTATAAACCCCTTTTCTACCCAACAGACCCACCCCCAACCACATTTAATATTAGGTATACACACATGGATACACACAGACACACACACACACACACACACACACACACACACAAAATCACATCAAATGAGTAAAATAGATGCAACCCGTAATCTATATGCTTCCTGCAGTTAAGTTTTGTGATCCAAGCATTTTCCTGAATCATTTACCAGGGAGACAATGGTATAGATTGTCTTTCTAATTCACTGCCATTGCCTTTAAACTTTAACCAAAGCCATTAGAATTCCTTGTGAGGCTGATATCTTTATTGGGCTGATTTGGCCACAAAGGTCAGTGCGTGAAGACCTGTAATGACACAGGACCCGCGGACGCTGCCACAAGAAGTCAACATCAACACACTCTGAGCCTGTTCTACACTGACATGGTACTACTAAAATGGAACTGGACTTGACAGTTCACTGTCTGCCAGAAAGGTCAGGCCTCGAGGCTATTGAACACCAGCCCAGAAGACGTTCAGAAAGCAAAGAGTGGGAGTTGAGCTGAGGTTCAGTGTCCAAAGTGTGAAACGCAGTAAAAGCAATAAGCAGCGGGCAGGAGCTTGGTGCAAGAGCATATTTCTGCTGCAGATGGAGGCTGCTCACTCACAGCTCTGTGTATATAGGTCGACTGCATCTTTTCCGGGTCAGAACACAACAGTCAAGTTTAACTGAGCATACGTCAGAGAGCAGCAGCCTGCAGCAGTGGTGGGGGTCGTGTACTTTTACTACAGCAGCAGCAGCTCACACCAGCTTATCTCCCAACGTCATATAAAGTTCAACTGTTAAATCTCAACTGATTGTTTATTGAAATAGTTGTCAATTTAGTAATCAATTAATTGTTTTTTTTAACCTTACATAGACTAAAGAATGTTGAGAAGGTTTTCTTTTAATTTTATAATGGAGGGTCTGTTGGGCAGTTAGAACTAGAAGGACTGTGGTGATGATCCAGGACACTCCTCCTACAACATGAATGGACATGTTTTAACATGTGTTCTATATTCTTTATTTGTTTTAACTGTTGATTCTCTGATCTGTGTTGGTGATTTAAATGGTTTTGTTAAGTCCTCTGAGATGACTTCTGTTGTGATTTAGGGCTATACAAGAATAAATTGTATTGTGTATTGTATTGTATTGATAATTCATAATGACAACCAGATTAAATTAAAAGGTTTTCTTCCCCTTTGCCCATTTAATAATAATAATGCGTTTCATATACTGTAGCGCTTTTTTGGACACTTAAAGTCTCTTTACATCATTATTTTTTCACTCCATACACAGTGGTGATAAACTACTACTGTAGCCACAGCTGCACTCGGCCACACTGACAGAAGTGAGGCAACCACTTTGCCATTGGCCCCTCCCACCACCACCAACCATTCACACACACATCAGACTTATTATAATGTGGGTGAAGTGTCTTGCCTAAGGACACAATGACAGCAGACATCAGTGGAGTCGGTGGAGAAGGTCTCGTGGTGGACTCAAACCAACGACCTTCAGGCTCAAAGGCCAATGCTCTACCATCTGAGCCACTGTGTTCACAAAGGACTTAACATGGAGGGTCAGTGGAGCAGATTTATGCAGCCACAATGTGGAACAGTCCTGAAACTCTGAGGTTGTGGGTTCACTGATAGAATCACAGATTTTGCAGAAGAACTTCAGCTTTTTAACGTTTGATCTACTGGAACCAACGGGGACATGGCCCTCGTCCAAAAGATTCACCAAGATATGACTTTGGGGAAAAAATTAGTGCATTCATCATCCATTTATGAAGCAGCAAATTCTGGACGATTCTGGACTTCAGTTATTAAACATTCAGAGACTTATACAATACAATTCTTTGTCTTCTTAAAAATAAAAAACACATTCAATTGTATTCAGAGTTTAAAGATAAAATAAAAAATGGCTCTTCTGGCAAATGGCTATTTTTGGTTCTGCAGACCGCTGGACTACAGGCCGTGTAAAGATAAATAATACACAGCACAATGCAAAAGGCAGATATCTAAAAGTTAATAAAAGTGACAAAAAGTAGAACAATAAATTTGGCCGAAATCTGTTTACAAAGCAACTGAATGTTTTTTCGCAATCGTACAATAAGACTGTATTTTCGGCTTCTATAGCAGGCACTTCTCCCATTTCCAATTTCCTTTGCTGTATCCATTGTTACCGCGCAAGTGTCATCGCTCTCTTATCTTGTTGGATGGGTGAGAGGCACGACTGCTCTCGCACCGTGTACCACCCTGATATATATTCGCTCCTATCTCGGATGAGCTGGTATCTGATTCTACAGAACACTCAAAGAGCTTGTTTTCCATTGTTTTATAAATCAGCTTTTTAGCGCTTCTTTCATTCTCATGGCCCAACTTTTACCTTCTAGCTACAGGGATGATATCAAAATATGCTCTTCTCATGAATTGTATTGTAAAACAGATCCAATAAATCATCTTTACATAAAAATTACTTGAGAATCCCAAACTGTCAATGACTACAGTGCCTCTGAATAGTTCACACACAAGTAACATAACTGCAATAAATAAATAAATATTTTATTGATCCCCATCAGTTGTGTCCAGTAGCAGCAGAACAAACAAATGTATTCATACAAACAAAACAAATATAGATAATTCTAAAAGTAGGGAAAAATAATCTTCAACTAAATTCAATTTATTCTTGTATTGGCCTAAATCTCAGAGACTTTACAAAACCTTTGAAATCTTCAACAAATCAAAAAGTTCAAACACAGAGAATATAGAACACACAGTTGTGAATAGAAATGCATTTGTAGATATATATTGATATTATATATATACAACACATTAAATGTTGTTGCTTGTTTGCATATGTATATACTGTAAGCATAGAAGGAAACATGTACTGTAAATAAGGTCCTGTAGATGAGTGTGGTGGATTAAAGACCCACGTACAACCGCTTTCGTTAAGGAAAGAAAAGCTTAGGGTTGGCAGGTGCTAGCAAACCACAGCTCTCTACAGGCCCCAACAAAATTTGTCCCTCAGTCTGATCTCAACTGTTTTGCTGGGCCCCTAATCAAAAAGAACCTGCGGAGCGCATTTTTTAAACTAGAGGTGTCTGTACCCCCTAAAAACATCCAGTTGAACGCATTGAAAACATGTGAACTGGTCTACGACTTCAGTCGCAATAGTTCTCATTTGCCTGTCGTAATCGACAACTCCCAGGTGCAGATCGTAGAGGAGTGCAAGTTTCTTTCTTAACTCTGTCTAACGACCTGAAATGGGTTAAAAACACTGACCGAGTCGTTAAGAAAGCTCGTCAGCGTCTCTACTTTCTGCGTAAACTTAGAGAATTTACCACTAACTCTAATATTCTGCTTAACTTTTATCGCTGCACCATTGAGAGTTTACTTGTTGGTTCTGTGTCTGTGTGGTTTGGAAACATCACAGATAAAGAAAAGAGAGCTTTAAACAAGGTGCTCCGCTCTGCAAACAGGGCCGTGGGCTGTGAGCTTCCTGTTCTGGAGGTTCTTTATAAATCCAGACTTTTAAACAAAGCTCTTAGGATTGTTAATATCTCTTCTGGCCACCCTGGAAAAGCCATGTTCCAGCTTCTTCCCTCTGGCAGAAGATATCGCTCTCTGAGATGCAGGACATCTCGTTACGCTAACAGTTTTTATCCACAAGCTGTTATCAGTTTGAACAGAGCACTTTAATGATTTGCACTTGTTTTGAAACTGTTTTAGTCGATCGATTTCACAGTGACATTTGTTTACTGTTTTATTTGTTTTATTTCTGTCTTTTAATGTTGTTTTATGTCTGTATTTGTCTGTGCAGACTGGAGACTTTTTGCTAATGTATTCCAATGTGGTGTTTTTATTGCAAAAGGCAAATAAACTGAATCTGAATCTGATCTCTTGGTGGACTGCACGAGTACTCGTATGGTAAACATCACTGCCCAACGTTTACTGTTTGTGAGCCCACCCCGAGTGCGCCGCAAGGTTACTGCCCATAGTCCAAACGTCTATGCCTACATAGGAGAATGGGGGATCAGTACTGTGGCGCAGGTAGGTCTGTCAGCCATTTTCTGAGACTGCGTCGTTCTCCTTAACTTACGACAGGCCACACATAAGAAAATGTGACTGCTGATCTGGCGTTTACCTCCCAAAACCCAGTAGCCTGCCGATCTTAAAGCACCTTCTGTAAGGTGACGCCCCTGGTGTCTTACTATTTTGTGGTGGTGGCGGATCAGGAGACTAGTTACATGGTGTTTGTGTGGCATGATTAAGGGATGTCTTTCTGCTATCTCCAGCTCGGAGTGCAGGAGGCGCCCTCCCACCCTGAGGAGACCTGACCTATCAAGGTAAGGAGAAAGCTTGAATAAAGGGCTTGACCTGGGAATGTTCTTTCCTGCTTCTATAAGTTTGAGCCCTTTGATTAAGCTTTTTTGTTGAACCGCACTAATAAGAACTTATTTCGCTGTCAAAATCTGAGGTTGTGAGCTTGTGACACATGTGCGCACAACTCAAGTCTGGGGATGGTAAGGTCAGGCTTGGGTGGAAGTTTGGCTTTTCTGAATACAAATGCGAGTTCTGTTTCACCATCTTTGTTTGTTGCCTTTAAATAAGCAACGGCTGCAATTGCTTTAGTTGATGCATCGCAGAAGATACAGATTTCTTTGTGCTCTGCATTTGCGAATGAAAATGAACAGTCTTGAGATGTGAGTTTGCTCAAGTTGCTTAAGAGCATTTTTTCCATTCTTCCCACTCTTTGAACATAGCCCCCGGAAGAGTCTCATTCCACCCACAACTCTCCTTAGCAAGCTCACGTAGAAGAGCTCTCCCCCGGATGCTCACTGGCACTGCAAACCCGAGCGGATCGAAAAGACTGTTAATTGTGGACAAAACACCTCTTTTAGTGTATGGCTTTTCAGGAGAAAGTTAAAATGTCTTTTTCAATGTCCCACGATACCCCTAAACTCCTTTGCATTGGTGGAAACTCTGTGTTAAAGTCTATGTCCTTGAGCCCACTTGCAAAATCTTCACTGGGAAACGTTTTCATGACCGTCATGATCAACGTAGAAATGTTTCTGAACAAACACTTTGGCCTCTGGGGGATACTCTGTGTCTGACTGCTGTGCTACGTTTCTCAGGCCAAATATTGCCACTGCTGGAGACGGGCTATTGCCGAACACATGCACCGTCATTCTGTACTCGACAATAGGCTCTGCCGGGTTGTTGTACTGATACCAGAGGAACCGAAAGAAGTTCCTGTGGTCCTCCCGCACATGAAAGCAGTGGAACATTTGTTGTATGTCTGAAGTCACTGCCACCGCCTCCTCTCTGAAGCGGACAAGGACCCCGACTGTTGTTCATGTTGGGTCCAGTAAGCAGCGCATCGTTTAAACAGACCTCCTGATATTTAGCACTCGAGTCAAACACAACCTTGATGGTCCCCGGTTTCTGTGGATGGTAGACCCCAAAGAAGGGTAGATACCAGCATTCTTTGTCTTTCCTCAGGGCTGGAGCTAGTTCTGTGTGATCTTTATTGAATAATCCTAGCATGAAGTCCATGAACTGTTTCTGCATTTCAGGACGTTTGCTGAGTGTACGGTGCAGAGACTCAAAGCGACTGAGCGCTAAAGTTCTGTTGCTTGGAAGGTGGGGCCTAGGTGTTCGGAAAGGAAGTAGTGCTATCCAACTGTTTGTGTTCTCTTGATAAAAGTCTCTTTCCATGATTTGCAGGAAAGCTTGGTCTTCAAGAGAAGGAGCGAGCGTTTCATCCTTTTCACTTTGATGAAATATTTGTTCCCCCATTTGACATGTGCTATGAGCGTCTCAGGGCTCAGTGTGTGACTGGAGTTGCTCTTTAACATGGAAATTATTCTGGCATGGTGGCAGAAAGCTTGGGCGCCCGTTCTCTAGGACATTTGTTTTGTATAAGCCCACAAATGCTGGCTAATGTGCTCCCCCAAGGCAAACATCCCCCACAATAACCCACCCAAGTACAAGTCTCTGGGAAAAGCAACATTATATCAGCTTTAGGATCAAAAGGTTCAATATTACATGCCAGGTGTTTGAGGTGAGAATGGGCTAGAGCAACTTCTGGTGTGGGGATTTCTGACTAATTGTCTGGCAGAAAGTCACACTCAAGAAGGGAAGGCAGAGAAGATGAGAACTGACCATCAACTGACTGGATGACAACGTTCTCTGCTATGCGGCTATTTGTAATAGACACCCCAGTGCCTGTTTTAAGTGTGTATGGCGCAGTGTTGTCCATAGGTATATCAAAAAGGTCTAAAAATGCTGTTTTGGCTAGTGACCTATTGGATCGGTCATCTATGATAGCGTAGACCTTGACTTTCTTGTCTGGGTGCCCCTCTTGATAGACGTAAGTCTGACATATTTTAGAGCAAGAACGTCCCCCACGTAAGTCCCCACAAACCTGAGTGCATGCTGAGGTTATCGCTAAAGTGCCTGTACTACTCTACCCAATATGGGCGGCACGGTGGCTGAGTGGATAGCACTCTCGCCTCTCAGCAAGAAGGTCCTGGGTTTGAATCCCGGTCGGACCAGGGCCTTTCTGAGTGGAGTTTGCATGTTCTCCCCGTGTCTGCGTAGGTTTCCTCCGGGTACTCTGGTTTCCCCTACCACTAAAAATATGTACAATAGGTCTGGCATGCGCCTCCTGTTCGGCGATCTCTGTGTGGAGTGAGAGGACAAGTGCCCAAAAAATAACAATTGTAAACCGCTTTGTGACTCTGGTCTGTGAAAGGCGGTATATAAATAAAGATTACTTACTTACTTACTTACCCGCCTTGCTCCTCCCTATGCTCCCTACCGCCCTGGTCTGGAGAGGCATATGGGGTCCGCTTGTTTACCATTACTGTTGTTTACTGTTGCATTCTGAACATGTGATTTCGACCTTGCAATCTTTTGATTGGTGACTGGAGGAATTACAACATCAAAAGCAAATATTGTGCTCTCTGAGATATGCTTTGCACTCATCTAGTGTCTTCTCTCTAAAATCCCAACACTTCCTTAATGGGTGTGGTTTCTGATGAATGGGACACAGTTCATTTGTGAACTCTTTGGTTGAGCTAGTATTGTATGTGTCATTTGCTTCCGTTTTGTGGACAGCGACTGGAGCTCTGAACTTAGCAGCTCCGGAGTAGTGGTAGTCATGAACAGCTAAGGTGGATGTGGTGACTGGTGTGGCTGACTTAAAGCTGGGGTCATTTCTCATTTTGGCTTCACCCTGTATGAACTGACAGAAAAATGAGAATGGAGGGAAGCTAACATTGTATCGACGCTTGAATCGTGTCCCCTCTGCCATCCACTTATCTTTTAGACTAATGGGCAGTTTTTCAACCACTGGGAAAATGCCACGTGAGGTGTCTAAATACACTAAACCAGGTAAAAAGCCATCTGATTTTGCTACATCTATTTCTGAGAGTAAGTCCCCAAGTTCCCTTAGTTTTTGTGGCTCTTTATTTGTGACTCTAGGAAAGCTGTGTAATCTCTCAAGCAGAAACTTTTCTAAAGCATCAGAAGTACCGTAGCATTCTTGTAGCCGTTCCCAAACTTGACGTAGGTCATCAGCTGGATTGTTAAGATGGACAGAACGTATGCGTTTGGCATGTTTGGAAGATTCCTCACCTAGTCACCGAGAGAGCAGATCCAACTCTTCACTTGGCCGTTAGCCTAGCCCCTCTATAGTGCAATAAAAAGAAGCTCTCCATGGCCAGTAGTCCTCAGCTCTATTTGTGAATTTAGTTAGACCATCTGTAACTAAACTTCTTTTGGCCAGAAATTTAGCAAGATCAGTAAGGTCGTTATTCCCACCGTTATATTGATTTGGACGAAAGGGCGGACTGTGAGGTGTGATGCTGGTGCTCTGGGAGAGGAGCAGCTGGTGACAGATTGCTAATCTCCTCTTTCATAGCTGGGTAGCGTGTCTTTGGTGCATATGCGAAGGGAGTGATTGGATCTGGTATTGGACTCATACTGCCTCTTGGTACAGGTGTAAAACGTTTATTGTCTGGTACGTCTTCTCCAAGATAAAGACGAGTATTGAAGATAAGAATGCAGTCCATAGTTGTCGGAATATGTTGTAGTTGGAAGTTGATTTAGCGCTTAAGTAGTCAATATAGGTGGAGCGGTGGCTTGACTGGGCTCGGAGTCCACACGCTGTTTAACTCTTTCAGTGTCAGACATTTTCAGAACATCACTCCTCTAGTGCCAGCCAATTTTTCTGATTTTCACCGACTTTTAAAGACCCATAGAATATGTTCTGCTATGACTAGCTGAGACCATATTCTGAAAGATTGGACCCTCTAGTTTACTCAGAAAAAATAAGTGTGTTTCTATCTGCTTTAGTTCTTCTGTAATCACCACTGGAGTAAGGTAAACTTTTCACAGAAATCATGAGTTTCAGACATAAAGCTGAGAAAATGAGGTGTTTGTGAAAATAAGCAAACAATGCAGAAAAGTGACTTTAAAAAGTTTTTTTTAACTTTAGTCATTTCTCACACAACAGAACATTCTTACCATATATAAAATAAGGGAAATGACTCAAAATAAAGTGCTTTTGATAGCAAAATAAAACTCAGAACACAGAATAAGAAATGTAAAAAACATAAATTACAAACAAATAACTATATACATAAAGTGCAATAGATTGGCTGAGAGTGTGTGTGTGTGTGTGTGTGCGTGCGTGCGTGTGTGTCTACATATTGTAATCTTGTTGTGTGTGATATTTAGTGAAGCACTCTCCTTTGTGTAATGGGACACCACATGCCTTGCACCACATCCTGGTCTCACTGCGCAGGCCTTTGCACATGCAGACCCTGCATCTCCTCGAGGGTCTGGTCTTCGAGCCGGAGGACAGCAGGTACTCCACCTTGTGCATGGCATCCTCATTGAGCCTGCTCTCTGGATCAGTGTTATATGGAGCCCTGGGGTTTCGCGGTGCCCCTTCCTCCACACATGCAACGATCGACTCGTTCTCCTCGTTGTGGACCTCCTCGTCCTCCTTGTCCTCAATGTCCTCGATGTCCTCCTCGTCCTCAATGTCCTCCTCGTCCTCGATGTCCTCCTCGTCCTCATCCTGGACCTTCAATGTCCAGGACCTCATGACCCCCTGCATAAATTCTAAGAGGGTTTTGTATTCCCGGTTCCCGTTCCTGGCTCTGTAGAGAGTGTAGGCATTGTACATTGCGATTTGGAACAGGTAAGCTACAAAATTTTTGGTCCAGTTCAGAGACTTCCGGACGAACGGGTAGTATTTTATATTTTGATCCAATCGATCCACGCCATTCATGGAGGAGTTATAGGCATCGACACACTCCGGTTTTAGGACAGACACCTTCTCCCTCTGTCCTCGCTGCCAAACGTCGACACTAGTCATGTTGTCATGGTGACAGGTTGTCAACATCTTGACAATCCGTTTGTCCCGCCACGCCACAACCATGACCTTCCCATTGTTCACCGCGACTCTCCCCCCCACACTCAGCTCAGTCTTGGTCAAGTCCCTAATGCTCTCAGGCTCTCCCCGGTTCTTCCTCAGCGTCCCACACACTTTTGTTTTTACTGCCATCAACTGCTCAGACAATACCACAGAATTGTAATAGTTGTCCATAAACAGAGTGTGGCCGGCACCTGGGAGACGGTCAAGGAGAGAAAAAACAATGTCAGGGATCGTGTGGGGCTCACCAACATAGGGCTGCAGGTTAAAGCAGTAGCCGGTGGCAGAGTCGCAGAGCACATAGGACTATGCCATACTTTATGGGCTTCTGTGGGTTGTAGACCTTGAAGGCCAGCCATCCTCTCCAGAGCAACATCCCCTCATCTATGCAAATATTCTGCCCGGGTTGGAACATTACCTTGAATTTATTGATCAGGTAGTCGTAGACGGGGCGAACCTTGTATAACCTGTCAGTTACATCAATTGCAGAGTTGTCATTGTAATGGAGGAACCTCCATATGAGTTGGAACCGGTTCCTGGACATTATTTTAGTGAAGAACAGGGCGACAAACATCTCATCCACGTTCCAATACATTGCCAGGGTTGGCTTGTGGATAACAGATTCAGATTCATTTATTTGGCATTTGCAGTAAAACCACATTGGAAAAACTGTGCAAGACTACCCCAGTGTGCACCAGACAACACACACCAGAGCTCTTGCCACGGCGCCATCTTTACGGCGCCATGCGACAAACAGTAGAATAAACAGCAGAGAGCAATAACATACAGTTTCACAGACAATTGGATAGACACATTGTGCTTTGTATAAACCACGGATTTTTTTTCTCGGGATGAGCACCTCCGACTGCCGGCCCAATGTGGCTGTCAGAGGGGGGCGGGGTCAGGGAGGGGGTGAGTCGGAAACACAATGAGGAGTGGAGGGGAGGGAGAGAGCAAGATGGATAGGTAGAGGGAGGCGGGGGGAGCGGGATCCGTGCTGGAGACTGAAATAGTGTGAGTTGTTGTAGATGGGGACCTTGTTATTATGGCCTTGGCCGAGGAATGTGAGATAAGAGTGGAGAGAAGACACAGCAGAGTGGAGAAAAAACACATCGCCTGAGAGGGACAATATTGTATGCAATGCAGCAGTCAAAAGCAGGCAGATATTCTATTAAGTCCAATTAAACCAAATTGCGGTGCCCTCAGACCTCCGTACACAGGGGCAAATCCAAGCCGGGTCAGAGAGTTCAAGCCTGACACACAATGTCATTCACCAGTGAGGAAAGACAACCCAAATAACTTTTTTAGCTCTGGCATGGTCACTGGTCTCCATGCATACTTTCTGCTGTGCTGCGGAATCTCTGGGTTTGCCAGGAAATGCTGCTGAGCATAGAGGTTGGTCTGCTCTGTGATGTGCTGGAGCAGCTCGTCCGTGAGGAACAGCTCCAGGAAGTCAGCAGGCGAGGTGGACTCCAGCTCTGCTGCCGCGTTCAGGGGACCAGGCGTTGCGGTGAAGCGGAACACAGTTGGTTTCCATCCGGATTTCCGCCAGGTGCCGCCTTTACCCTTTGCAACTGTAATAAATTATGGAAATTTATACAATAAATAGGAATCAAATACAGCTCGTTTTATTGATTTGATGTGATGTAGAGAAAGATATTCCAACCTCTTTTCTTCACACCTGTATTTGCAGGACTCACGCTGGCAGCGCCTCTGCTCAATGTAGCGCCTGTATAGAATTGTACAATAACTCATCTATCCATATACACACATATCCAAATACATATACATCTACAGATGCACATATCCAAAGACACACAGACACACACGCAGAGACACACGTACACACTACACATACATACATATTATACATACATACATACATATACACACACATGCATATATACATACAGTATATATTTGAGTATTTTATTTACCTGTAGGCCTCCTTTTACCAGCATTGTTACTCCTGGATTGGGCCAGCACTCTACTTACTAGAAATACACACAAATACAATCATGAGAATTATACAAGAATACTTTTAGTCATTGCTATATACATACAGTGCCTTGTGAAAGTATTCGGCCCCCTTGAACCTTTCAACATTTCGCCACATTTCAGGCTTCAAACATAAAGATATACAATTTTGATTTTTTTGTCATGAATCAACAACAAGTGGGACACAATCGTGAAGTGGAACAAAATGTATTGGATAATTTAAACTTTTTTAACAAATAAAAAACTGAAAAGTGGGGCGTGCAATATTATTCGGCCCCTTTACTTTCAGTGCAGCAAACTCACTCCAGAAGTTCAGTGAGGATCTTTGAATGATCCAATGTTGTCCTAAATGACTGATGATGATAAATAGAATGCACCTGTGTGTAATCAAGTCTCCGTATAAATGCACCTGCTCTTTGATAGTCTCAGGGTTCTGTTTAAAGCGCAGAGAGAACCATGAAGACAAAGGAACACACCAGGCAGGTCCGAGATACTGCTGTGGAGAAGTTTAAAGCCGGATTTGGATACAAAAAGATTTCCCAAGCTTTAAACATCTCAAGGAGCACTGTGCAAGCAATTATATTTAAATGGAAGGAGTATCAGACCACTGCAAATCTACCAAGACCCGGCCGTCCCTCCAAACTTTCATCTCAAACAAGGAGAAGACTGATCAGAGATGCAGCCAAGAGGCCCATGATCACTCTGGATGAACTGCAGATAACTACAGATGAGGTGGGAGAGTCTGTCCATAGGACAACAATCAGTCGTGCACTGCACAAATCTGGCCTTTATGGAAGAGTGGCAAGAAGAAAGCCATTTCTCAAAGATATCCATAAAAAGTCTTGTATAAAGTTTGCCACAAGCCACCTGGGAGACACACCAAACATGTGGAAGAAGGTGCTCTGGTCAGATGAAACCAAAATCGAACTTTTTGGCCACAATGCAAAACGATGTGTTTGGCGTAAAAGCAACACAGCTCATCACCCTGAACACACCATCCCCACTGTCAAACATGGTGGTGGCAGCATCATGCTTTGGGCCTGCTTTTCTTCAGCAGGGACAGGGAAGATGGCTAAAATGGATGGGAAGATGGATGGAGCCAAATACAGGACCATTCTGGAAGAAAACCTGTTGGAGTCTGCAAAAGACCTGAGACTGGGACGGAGATTTATCTTCCAACAGGACAATGATCCAAAGCATAAAGCCAAATCTACAATGGAATGGTTCACAAATAGACGTATCCAGGTGTTAGAATGGCCAAGTCAAAGTCCAGACCTGAATCCAGTCGAGAATCTGTGGAAAGAGCTGAAGACTGCTGTTCACAAACGCTCTCATCCAACCTCACTGAGCTCGAGCTGTTTTGCAAGGAAGAATGGGCAAGACTTCCAGTCTCTCGATGTGCAAAACTGATAGAGACATACCCCAAGCGACTTTCAGCTGTAATTGCAGCAAAAGGTGGCGCTACAAAGTATTAGCGCAAGGGGGCCGAATAATATTGCACGCCCCACTTTTCAGTTTTTTTATTTGTTAAAAAAGTTTAAACTATCCAATAAATTTCGTTCCACTGCACGATTGTGTCCCACTTGTTGATTCTTGACAAAAAATTTAATTTTTATATCTTTATGTTTTAAGCCTAAAAGGTGGCGAAATGTTGAAAGGTTCAAGGGGGCCGAATACTTTCGCAAGGCACTGTATGTATAATGTATGCATTACCTGCTCTGCCGGTTGCTCTGGGGGAATCGGGGGATGAGTCACTGCTGTTTGGGTCAGCTTCAGGTTCCCATAGCTCTGAAGAGCCTGTATCCGACGAGGAACTTTCTCTGGACCGACGTGGACCACTGGAACTGCGTGCGGCGGCTCTGGAGCGACGTGCGCGGCAAGGACTCCCGCTAACGGCCAGATGTTTAGACTTAGCTTTAGCTTTAGCAGTAGCTTTAGCCGCAGCCTCAGGCTTTTTGCCAACTGAAGGCCGAGGCAGATCACCTCCACCTTCATCATGGCCATCACCCACCGACCTTCTGATGATACCACCAGCACCAAACGCCTCCTCCATCGTTAGCTGCCGCTTTCTGCTCATGTTCGCTCTCCCGATTGCTCTCGTGTGCTCACTCTAACCTCCCACAATGAGATCTGGGCCTCCAGTTCCTTTTATGACTGATCGAAGAGCTAAAGGACGCTACTGACATCTGCTGGCCGAATAAAATACTGTCAAACAGTCCCGATCAGAGATATATGATAGAATTAGGGTTGCCACGATTTCAAATTTTGGAATCACGATTATTGTGAGATAAAATATTGCGGTTTCACGATTAATCACGATTATCGACATTTTGAAAGAAAATCAACTCAGATTGGTTTTTTTGTAATTGAAATGCTTTATTAACACTTGAACTTGTAAACATTAACATTCACTGTTTAAAAATAAATAAAAGGCTTGAGGTAAACGTTTTATAAAATATAAACAAATAATAATAAATTAAGTTTGTAAAGTGTACTTTACGAACTGTAGGAACTTTTTAGATTTGAAGACATTAAGGCATCCATAATTGGAACAAATTTAGATGTGTTATTTTTTATAACCATTAACTAAACTGCTCAACAAAATCTATAATTGAAGAACAAAATATTTAGCAGAAGTACTTGCAGAATATTTCTTTTCAGTCCAAGTTTTGATGCAAGAATGTAAGTATGTTCACATTCTCAGTGCTGAGCCTGGACCGCTGAGGGCAAACGATGTGGCCACTGGTGCTGAATACTCGTTCAGAGGGCACACTTGTGGCAGGAATGCACATGTACTTTTTTGCTACTTTGGAGAGAAGCGGCATTTCGTCCATATGCGTCTTCCACCAAGACAATGGATCTGCTTCAGCACTGATTATTGGCAGTGATAGGTAGAGTTTTAACTCTGCCTCAACTTTTTCCTGAGATGCTAAGGGTGCACTTGCTGGCGTGCGTGCTTTTGTGATTTGCTGCAGGAGTCCTGACAGTGTTGTGCCTTTCCTCTTAGACGATCCAGAGCTGGTCCCTTCTTGTGCACTGTCATCATCCTCCTCAGATATGGTTTCTGCGTGAGGCAGTGCTTGTGATGTTCCCGGACCTGTATTTGGGGTGATTGCAACAGCTTCCTCTGCACATGTCTTCTTTGTATCCTCTAGTTTTTCAGAGAAGTTGCCCTTAAACCTTGGATCAAGAAAACATGCAATATCCAGGACCATTTTCATCTCTTCTGTATATCTCATCTGAAGTAACAGGTCATTTCTTACTGCACTCTTCATCGCTTCAGTAAGTGCACTGTCTTCTTCCTTTGGACTTAAAATGTGCCCATTTATGTGTACGAGCACGGGCTTTAAAGAAGATAGTGTAACTTGCTTCTCTGATGCCATTACATCTGTCAATATGTTTAGTGGCTTCAGAAACTGGTGTGCCTCCTCCATGACGGTGATATCTGTATCTTTTGGCATTAAATGCCATAAGCTTCTGTCCCCTGCCAAAACAGCACAGACTGCCTGCTGCTGCTCCAAGAATCTGGAGATCATCTCAAATGTGGATCCCCACCTTGTAACCACATCATTTATCAGGGCATGTGCTGGGATGTTAAGCTCCTCTTGTTTCTTCTTTAGTTCTCTCTTTTTTTTCCAGCTACGCGAGAAACCTTGCACTAAGTGACGGCATGCTCTTATGGCTTTTTCAACTCTTTGGATTTTGAGCACCTTGCTGATAGCAAGATTTAGATTGTGCCCAAAACAGGAAAACCACACACAAGCAAAATTTGCGAAAGCCTTTTTCATGTTGGTGGCGTTGTCTGTGGTGATGCCAGATAGATTATCTGGGGAGATGCCCCACTCTTGAAGTATGTTTTCCACTGTTTCTGTTATGTTGTCTGCAGTGTGATCATCAGGGAAGTACAGTGTCTCTAGACAGTGGGCTTTAAGTTTCCAATCAGAACTCACATAATGAATGGTGAAGCTGATGTAGGGTTCTCCACCTCCTCCACTGCTTGTCCACACATCAGTTGTTGCCCCAAACCATTCAGCTTCTTTCATTTGCTCCTCTACGCTTTCCTTCACTTCCAAATATAATTTGGGTATTTCAGTTGTTGTAAAGTGGGTTCGCCCTGGTACCTTATATTGTGGAACAGCCTTTTTCATCAAAGATAGAAATCCAGGTTTTTCTACAGAGTAGATTGGCAACATGTCCTTGGCTATATAATATGCTACGGCTTGATTGAGATCTTTTGCTTGTTTTGATGAAGGTGCATATTTAATGCTTTTTGAGAATGACTTTTCAACTGTAGATTGAACAGTAGCTGCAGGTGGTCCATTCAGGCTGGGAGTTTTTTTCTGGAAAACAATTAAATGGATAAATAATGATTATCATATAAGATTTTAGATATTTTTTTGTATTACATTTAAAATATACATATAAATATATAAATAGCTGAACATTATATATATATATTTTGTTTTTCTAAGTATAACAATTTTCATATCAGAAAATAAATGCAGGAATTTATATACCTAATTGTTTTTGTAGTAGTAGCCATCATCATAGCTAGTCTAGGTGCTATTTCTGCATTTATTTTGTTGACTAAGGACACGTGCTACTGTCACTTTAAGAGCTTCTCCTAGCGCACCGGCGCTAGTACTTTCACTTTAGATATGCAGAAGCAGAGAGAGAATTGCATGAATGTGCATCCTGAGACATTTGGACAACTTTAATTTGACAATGATGCAGTTTTATTACCTTGACTTGGACATACAGCAAAGGATGATTATCTCGAAGATGTTGAATCAGATTTGAAGTATTAGCCCCTTTCGCTGCCACTTTCCGACGACAAGATTTGCACGTTGGAAAACCATCAGCCAAAACAGAATCTAGCTCATCTTTTGGATACCCAAAGTGATCCCACACTGCTGACTTCAGTCGTTTTTTCGGTGGATACAACTCTGTGGGAGCTTGTCCTGCCATCTCCAATTCAGCGGTGAGTCTACTCTGCTCCGTGTGCAGCGGTCCCGTACTGCACTTCGCGCGAGAGTTTTCCGTATCAGCGGTAAACCGTGCCATTTAAAATCCTTAAGGTTAACCTACCGTGGGCTTTTATAATCGCGATTACCGTAAAACCGGTTAACCTCGGCAACCCTACATAGAATGGGTGCGTCTGGATCTGAATACACCAAAACACGTCAATTGCATAAAATGCGTCAATGGCACACAACCACAGATCTTGAATTGACGTAATATGCGTCATTGGCACTGAAAGAGTTGACTGAATGTATTAACTGTGTATCATGTATGACCTCCTCAGCTGCAGCTTCAAACACATTAGCCTCAGCAGAGGCCGCTTCTGATTCTTACACCTCTTGTAGTGCTTGGATCGTGGCACTTAAAAATGAGACAAGTAGAGCTTGTCTCATTTTTATTTGGATATCCTAACGTGTCTCCTTTTCCAGGCTTTATTCATTGTGAGAGTGGTAAAACTGCAACAAATAAAATAAAAACAGCCTCAAGTTATCCATTCAAACAACACAATATAAACATACAACATTGTCATGAACAAATACAAGGCCAACGCTAATGCTAGCGGCAGCACATTAGTGGCGCTAGCATTCGGCGCTAATTAAACACATTAGCTCTTAGCTAAACACAAGCTATTACCAAATATATTTTTGTTTTGGCTCCTTATGAGCCAAATTATTTATTTTTGTATGTATATAGTTTTGTTTTGGCGAACTTGGAGTGACATCCTGGCTAACCAGAAGTAGCAAAACAGTCAATGTTTATTCCATCTCTCAAACACGGTTCAGCTCCAGTTGTAGTAAGTAGTAGTAAGTAATCTTTATTTATATACCACCTTTTCACTGCACATCGGAGTCTCAAAGCCGTTTACAATTGTTATTTTTGGGAGTGGGCGTGCCAGTACAGGAGGCACATGCCAGACCTATTGTACATATTTTTAGTGGTAGGGGAAACCTAGCACTCCGCAGCAGGAAGAAGGATTAAACAATGGCTATTAGACAGTGGTCAGCACTAGATCATATACGGAATCGGGACGAAGCGGAAGTAGATATAAAAACTACCTATTCATGCCTAAACTTAACCAGCCATTCCCTTAGAATAACAATAACCCCAACCCAGCCTTAACCCTAACCTTAACCATCTTACTCAGACCCAGCTTAAGCCTAACCATAACCATTTTACTGAGACGCCTAAAACTTAACCAGTCACCACTTGAGTTATTAGTCTAAAACTAATTCGAAAGTAGGATTGTTACTTCCGGTTTTATCCCGATTCCGTGTATGATCTACTGTAGTGCCGACCGCGTTAGACAGTGACACCTCTTATCTGTTTGCAAATTAAATAGATTTTTAAAATAAAATGACAATTCATTGAACATTTATGTATATTTTCATTAGATTGGCAGTTTTAGTCCTCCATACTCAAACATACAGCTCTGAGACTCAATAAGAGCCAAAGTTCTGATAAACAAACTAACACTTGTAATGAACTTGGTACTATCTCCACATTTGTCCCGATACAGCTGAGTCATCCAGGTGTGAGCGCCTGAATATTTCTGTGTGCTGCTGTATCTTGGACAGTGTTGGCTGATAAGTGCTTCTGACCAATGGCGTGACAGACGATAGCGCCACCATCGAGGCGGAGAAAGAAGAGGCGAGAAGGAGCGATAAAGTCCCGACTGGAGTGGACAGTCTCTGCAAGTGAACTTAGGTCTGACACATTTTCTTGTTGATTCAAATTTGTCCGTATCTTGGTTTGACAGCAATTTATCTTCAAACCTCCAGTTGCCTTTTCACTCTGGATGAAAGAAAACACTTGTTGACTGACAATTATGCATGAAGACATTCGCTTAATAGACAAGTGCTTTCAAAACAAATCTTTCTCACCCCTGGGAGTGTTATCTGCTCAACCAGACCGAAGCAGACCCATGCGTTTGCATTTAAATCTTTAGTGCTTGAAAATAGCTGCAACACATTGAGATGGACTGTCTCTGTTCAATGTACGTCATAAAAATAAAAAGGAAATACTGACTAGAAGATGCCAACTCCTCACCTTCTTGGA